GGTTGGGTCTGAGCCAAGACCTTGGCCTCCATGAGGAGTGACAGTCTGGGACTTGGAAACTATTAGTTTTAATACTTTTAAAATTATTATTACAAGCACATTTTTGAGGGTTTTCTTGTTTTTAAACTTTATATTAAAAATTTTAATGTAATTATTCTACATTCCACACATAAGTGAGAATATGTGCTATGTGTCTTTCGGGGCCTGGTTTATTTCACATAGCATAACGTTCTCCAGGTTCATCCATGTTGTCACAGATGACAAAATTTCCTTCTTTTCTAAGCCTGTATAGTATTCTATTGAGTATCTATACCATCTTTTCTTTACCCATTCCTCCATTGAAGGTCACTTAGGTTGATTCCATAAGTTGGCCATTGTGAATAATGCTGCAATGAACATGGGAGTGCAGACATCTCTTTGATATAATAATTTCATATCTTTTGGATATATACCCAGAAGTGAGATTCCTGGATCATACAGTAATTCTATTTTTAGTTTTTTGAGGAAACTTCATACAATTTTTCCGTAAGCTATACTAATTTACATCCCCATCAACAGCATACACAGGCTCCCTTTTCTCCACATCCTCACCAACACTTATCCTCTTTTGTTGTTTTTATAATGGCTACTCTGACAGTTTTGAGATCATTTCATTTGTGGTTTTAATTTGCATTTCCCTAGTGATTAGTGATGTTGAGCATTTTTTCATGATTCTTTTTTTTTTTTTTTTTTCAAAAAAGATGACCGGTAAGGGGATCTTAACCCTTGACTTGGTGTTGTCAGCACCACGCTCACCCAGTGAGCAAACTGGCCATCCCTATATGGGATCCGAACCCGTGGCCTTGGTGTTATCAGCACCACACTCTACCGAGTGAGCCACAGGCCGGCCCCATTTTTTCATGATTCTTTTTTTTTTTTTTTCAAAAAAGATGACCGGTAAGGGGATCTTAACCCTTGACTTGGTGTTGTCAGCACCACGCTCACCCAGTGAGCAAACTGGCCATCCCTATATGGGATCCGAACCCGTGGCCTTGGTGTTATCAGCACCACACTCTACCGAGTGAGCCACAGGCCGGCCCCATTTTTTCATGATTCTTTTTTTTTTTTTTTCAAAAAAGATGACCGGTAAGGGGATCTTAACCCTTGACTTGGTGTTGTCAGCACCACGCTCACCCAGTGAGCAAACTGGCCATCCCTATATGGGATCCGAACCCGTGGCCTTGGTGTTATCAGCACCACACTCTACCGAGTGAGCCACAGGCCGGCCCCATTTTTTCATGATTCTTTTTTTTTTTTTTTCAAAAAAGATGACCGGTAAGGGGATCTTAACCCTTGACTTGGTGTTGTCAGCACCACGCTCACCCAGTGAGCAAACTGGCCATCCCTATATGGGATCCGAACCCGTGGCCTTGGTGTTATCAGCACCACACTCTACCGAGTGAGCCACAGGCCGGCCCCATTTTTTCATGATTCTGTTGGCTATTTATTTGTCTTCTTTTAAGAAATGTCTGTTCAGGTCATTTGCCCACTTTTTAAATGGGTTATTTGTTTTCTTGCTATTGAGTTGTTTGAACCCTTTACACATTTTGGATATTAAATTCTTATCAGACATATGGCTTGCAAATATTTTCTCCCAATCTAGGTTATTTCTTCACTCTGTTAATTGTTTCCTTTGCTGTGCAGAAGCTTTTGGTTTGATATAATCCAATTTGTTGTCTGATCCAAAAAATCACTGGCCAGACCACTGTCATGTAGTTGAACCCTTACCTCACACTATACAAAAATTAATTTAAATGCATCAAAGTCCTAAATGTAAGAGGTAAAACGATAATACTCTTAGAAGAAAATATAGGTATAAACCTTCGTGACCTTCATTCAATAAGGCAATGATTTCTTTGATATGACACCAAAAGCACAAGCAACCAAAGATAAAAATAGATAATTGGACTTCATCAAAATCAAAAACTAGCATCTAGCTAACATCATATTTAATGATGAGAGACTAAAAACTTTCCCACTAATATCAGAAACAAGACACTCTTGCCACTTTTATTCAACAATGTACTGGAGGTTTTAGCCAGGGCAATCAGGCAAGAAAAAGAAAAAAAAGGCATACAGATTAGAAAAAAAAAAAGAACTAAAACTATATTTGCAGATGACATGCTCCTGTACACAGGAACTCTTAAGAAATCCACAAAATAAACTATTCAAGTTAATAAACTAGTTCAGCAAAGTTGCAGGATACAAGATCAATATATTAAAAAAATATC